AAGTTTCTTCTCTTCTAGCAACATGCGTTCTATTTTCCTCTCAACAAAGTACTTGACTCATGTCAATCAAACAATCACAGTGCACACAGTTTTTGCCAGCATATAGATAAATACATGTTCATATGGACTCTTGTGTCTGTTTCAATGTTAACAGATCTATGGGAGATAGTTCTTGGCCAAAATATAACCAAGAGAGCAACCTCATCCATATGGAAAAGAGCCATCCGCAAGCAAAAGGTGATTGCCTGAACACAGCACAAGATTTGCCTTGAAGATGGTAAGCATCTAAATTGGTCTGCTTGATCTTCAAGCTGTTTACTTGATTCAGTTTTCATGCTGGAGATGATGATGGTGACAAGCATTTTCATGTGAAGTCAGTTCTCTGACACAGTGAATCAATATGCAAGGCGACTATGTGATGGTTTGACTAGGAAATGCGAATACCCAGCCCCAAGCCCTCAACATCATTCAAGGACAATAGAGACATCAAGGCACCTTGGCAATGACAAACACATAATGAATTCCAACCTAAATATATTTCATTCCTAGTTGGAAGAGACATCAGTAACAAATCATCAAGAGGCACACTGAACCAATGATTGGACATCGTCTTAAGCAGAGCTATATTCACCTTTAAGTTATCTTCTAGAATGCGAGTGAAGTAATTCTGCAATTCAGAACCTCGGAAGTAAGTCAGTATCTCTTGCCAGTCAGGAGGATTCTGCAAAAGGCCAAATGAACAAATATATAAATAGAAGGAAAGTGCCCAGTATAACACTATGGGGCTCGAATTGAAGGGCCAAATAAAGAGGACATGGGAAATTACATTGAAACGTCCCAAATTGGGTTTTAGTTTCCCAGCTAAAACTTTAAGAGCTGTTGATTTTCCAATACCGTTTGTTCCCACTAGGCCAAGAACTTGTCCTGGTCTTGGGACTGGTAACCTGCAACAAACCTTTTAGGAGACTTTATATAGCCATCTGGAGAGGGTGATAACCCTTCGGGATTGAAGACTAACCTATGCAATTTGAATGAGTTAGGACCATAACGATGTGTAGTATCCTTGTCCAAGTCTTTTGGCAGATTGATGATCTGGATTGCTTCAAATGGGCATTTCTGCATTGAGAAAATTAATCAATGAGATGTGCCTATATGAAGGCTCATAAGAGAGTGCAAAACCCCATGGATGCTACATTATTTACAAACCTTTACACAAATACCACATCCGATGCATAATTCCTCAGAGATGAAGGCAATCTTGGCTGAAGGAACAACCTCAATACATAGTTTGCCTGCAAACATAAATCACTGATCCTAAAAATTTAGAAGCCCTAATCCCATTACAACCACTACCTGTCCTCCATCTCAAAATAAATGAGAGAGCATAGTGAAATCATGAAATATCAGGCCGCGAAATAGAGCTCACAAAATAAATAAGACACATGGAAGGGGAGGGGGTGGGTAAGAAGATTGTTTCTTTTACAGATATTTCCTTCAAATCTAGGAGAGAAGAATTTTTTTTTAACTGTAAATGTATTTCTGTTTTCTGCATAAGCTTGTTGTTTCTCAATCAGACATGACAATAGCAAATATCTCAACTCATCGCCTGCACGTGATATATTCCGTGCAAGTGAAAATGGCCTATTGCAATGATGATTTTAAAAAAAAATCATCTTGTTATGGCTTCTTATGGAGGTTGTGACATAAAGAGCATCCATTCTAAAACATTACTGGCCAATAAGTTTTGTCTTGCATTAATGTGTAGTCTTTAACAAACATTGGCACTGTAAATTTAATGCCACCCACCAACCATAACTAGTTGGGATTAAGGTACTAATAATCAGTGATGACAATGGTCTGATTACAAGTTGCTGCCTTTGCCTAAGTTATTTAAGGAACCCCTCCCCATAACTTGACTACTGCATTTCTCATGTTCACATCTGCTAGCTGAAGATGGATACATTCTTTTTCAAAGACCTGAAGCTGTGGGTTTTACACAAATACATTTCTACCATGTCCAATCCATCCACTATATGAACAAAAAAAAAGCTATCTTGCATTCCAAAAAATGAGCATTGTGTGGGTAGAAGATTTATTATGAAATTTGGATGAACAAAATAATCATCTATAATGAAAATTTGTGGGTTGAACAAGTGATTCGGGCTACATGTCCATGAACGAGCTATTCAACCCCCAGAAATTGGATCTGTTACCGGTTTTAACAACGGGGCAGCTCTTCTTGCATTCCTGGCGGCACTTCTTCGGCTTGCACTTGTCGGAGCTGACTATGGCAATACGGGTCAACCTCTGATCCGACATCCTCTTCTCTCTACCAGTCTGTTAAATCTCCAAACCCCAAATCAGAAACAGAGAAGAAAAAGAAACAATCCAAAAAAACGCCATAAATTGATCGATCGATAGAGATATATGCTTACATGTAGATTCCGAGTGGTAGAGAGAGTTTGGGGAGTGTGGCGGACGCAGAGAGCGCGGACTGTGGATGCCGATTAAGCGCGGACACGACTCTAGGGTTCTAAAAGGAACAGAACCTAACCCCAAAAACTGCCTAAGCACTCCCTAGTTAGATAAAATACCAAAATAAAAATTTAAGTCTTTAAATCCAAAATAGTAGTCTATATGATTATTATTACGGAGTACTATTATTATGCTAACACACTTGTTATATTGTCACATTGTAACTACAAGAATATCCCACCACACCGTCATATGTTGTCACCACCTAGTAAAGTACCGCCACAAATCACCGACAGTTGATTAACCTCATTGTCATCACCTGTCACTCACACTACCAACATGTTGTTTTACATCACACCGTCATTATACCCCTATTTTGATTTTAAAAGATTTAGAACTCCTATTTTGATAGTTTCATACGGAGTACTTTATTACTCATATCTAGAGAGATTTCTTAAATTTTAAGTTGCTTTTTATTTTCAATTTTATTTAAACAAAAAATTAACAATTAAATATATTTTCAATCCCTATATAATAAGTGAATTTTGTTTTTGGTTCTGTAAAATTTAAGTCATCCTTACAAATTAAGAACGAAGATTCAACAGGGCAATCTACAAGATTTGTTGTTAAAAGGTATGTTTCCTATATTTGAAATTCATTTTCATTCATCCCCATTTTTGCATTCATATTCATTTGATATTGTTCTTTGATTTACCTTAATTACCTACAATTTCCTTAATTGTTTCATTGTATATTGCCTGGCACATTTTCGTTTGCCAAGCTCAAATATACCAATTTCCTTATTTACCAGTTTTCACGATTTTTGTAGCTATATATAAAATATTGTCTAATAAGGCTTACCAATGTTTACCAAACAAATGACATGACTTCGAGATAGTATATCAAGATTCACGCCAATGAAGAAAAGAACCTGATCTTATAGATTGAGACAAGTCAGTTATCAAGTTGAAGAGTGACAAGGTTGAAGAAAAATAATATTATACTTGATTTATTGATGAGTTTATTTTATGGTTTGACTTGCATGATATGGTTAGCCTTCGCCATGTAAGAATACGTAGTAGATGATTTTATGGTTTAGTCTACAAATACTTTATTTTGTTTAGCCTAAAACCTTAAACACACGCTTGTTTCAAATACCTTGGTCAATGGTAAATTTAGAATTCAATAAATTGATATTTTGTCGTATTATTGCATTCTAGCGCTGTCATTTTATATCATATATCTTTTGTTTATAAATTTTTTTGTGATGAGTCATATCTACTATACATATAGAAAATAATATAGAGAATATGAATAACAGAAAATGTAGTATAGAAATAATGTTTGTGGGCACAAACATTTCTCTGATCCTCATAGTATAGAAATTATAGTATTACTTCAAGGGAAGGAAATTACAGTCTATTTCCAAGCAAATTTATACTACTATGTTAACGAAGGATGTAAGTTTTTTTAACAAATAAATTTTTACCAATACCCAATGTAATTTTCCTTCAATATTTCATCAAATTTTGTCCATTTTGACTATACAAATATAAGTTGGACGAATAATTTTGGACAAAGGTAATAAGTTAATTTAATTAAAATGAAGATTGAAAAAAATCTTATAAAAAATGTTCTAACATACCAAAGTCATGGTAAGCTTTGTGTTGCTGTTTCACGAGTGAACACTAAGACATCATTAAAAATATTATTTCTATATGACAATATAATCTATTACAACCATAACCAACATGTTGTATACATGTCTTTAAAAAATTTACAAATAAAAAATATATAGTCAAGTATACTTTCAATTCCTCAAATATTATTTTTTCGTGTTGGTGTCTATTGTATTAAATTTTCAAACTTTTAACATTATTGCATATATTGAAGTCTTTAAAATCTTTTTTTATTTTAGACAAAATATTTCATTGAAAAAAAATCAGAACTGACAAAAAATTCATTCGTCCCCGTGCATACTTTGAAGTCTTTAAATCCTTTTTTTATTCTAGACAAAATATTTCATTAAAAAAAACCAGAACTGACAAAAAATTATTTCGTCTCCGTGCGTGGCACAAGTCAAAATTCTAGTAATATTAAAAATTGAAAGGCAAAGGGAAAAGGAAGGAAAAGCATTTTTCTAAAAAAGGAAGTAAAGGGGAGAGAAAAGCTAAAGCTGGCGTGATGCTCAATTGGAAAAAGGGGAAAAAGGGGAACACGAGGGGAGGGCACACCACATAGCCTTACAAGTTACAAGTATTGTTTCGCCGTTGCATTGGCTTAATGATGCAATTACAACTAATGTTTTAGCAGTTGCTTACGGTTTTTTTCTTACCTCATTGTATTTTTCGAAAATTGGTCCAAGACATTTCTCTCGTATGAAATCCTCGATACGCCCATGGTTAGAACATTTTCTCTTCAACTTATTTTTATTACTTACTACTTATTTTTAATCAAATCAGATCAGAAACAACTTAAATATAACTACAATCAGATCATAATTTATTCTAATCAAATCAAAACCAAGCCCTTAAACCCTTATGAATTGCTGCATATGCAACCCAAAACTTCATGAAACTAAGAAGCAAAGTTTATTGTGCCATTTTTATTTTAGTACATTATTTACTCGAAGCTAAAATATTGTCAATGACGACTCTTTTTAGCTCCATTGGCAATGGAAGGAAGCCACATAGCATCTTTTATAGGATAATCAGGATCTCTATCTACATATACCAGCATGGAAAATTACCTTGACATGTGATTATCAATCGCAACATTGGCGTTGTTTATCATGATGATAGATAGAGAGGGTGAAAAGCTCGCCAAATCATTTCCATTTCTTGAACATGCCGTGCTTTCCGCCCTTCCCATGCTTGAACTTGCCTTTATGACCCTTGCCGTGCTTGAACTTGCCTTTATGACCTTTCCCATGCTTGAACATGCCATGGCCGCCATAAGAAGGACCATGCCCATAATGAGCAGATCCGTGTGGTGGAATGAGATGATGACTAGCGCCAGCTCCTCCTCCTCCGTGTGACAGGTGACCAGCAGCATAACCAGCAACGACACCTAGTACCCCAGTTGCCGCTCCTCCAGCTAGCATTGGCCCAATGCCATGCCCTGACTGGCCTGTGAATGAAACCAGCAGGATTAGTACAACCCTATGATAAGGATGAATGAAAGATCTCATAAATGCTTTTTTATTGTTCAGGGTTTTCATACACTCATAAATTGAAAATATTGCGTGTTTATGATAAATGACGATGAATAAATACAAAGATTGGAGTACTCCATCTGTCTAGGTTCACCCATTTTTCTTTTTATGGACTCTCTAACAACTTTATCTTCATTCTTACCTTTTCTTCTTTCGTCCCAAAATTTATTCATCTTTTCCTTTTTAAGAAAAGACTGTATGGTTATTAGTTGCTCTTGCCTGAACAAATTTCAACCACACAGTATCCAATTAATTACAGATCGTGCAAACTTAAAGCAAGAGATTAGAAAGGGAAATATGGGTACTTTTTATTTGTTCATCGATGCACATTCATTATTTTTCCCCAACTTACCCTTAAAATTTTCAATTCACCATTTTCCCCAAGAACATACTCCCTGCTTCCCCATAAAGAGCTTCACTCATTAACTAAATAACTTCAGAGTTAAGGAAAAATGTCAAAAACTAAAAAGGGTGCGATCAAAATTTGTTTAGAAGAGACATTTTGTGAGCCACATATTCCTTTCTTTAAAAGGAAAAATGAAACTGTGAAGTTTTTTGGGGACGTCTAAATAAGTTAAGTGTGACGTTTTTTTAAAATAGTGACATTCAGCTATTAACGATGAACTATTAATTTTTTTATTGATTATGTGATTTGGTCAACGTAAATAGAAAAAAAGGATGAACTCCATCTCATAGGTCCTCTGGCCATGCAATTATCTCAAAGAGTGGAAGGAGGTAAGTTGAGCTCTGATTCCAATCCAACTGAAACGGAGTGGAGTAATGTACCTAGTACTTGTGAAGACCTAAAATTTTGTGTGATCATCTCCAAACGCAGTTGTTAGGATTTGAACTAGGGTATACTCCTCGTGGCACCCGATACCCGCCAGTTCAGATACACTCGCCAGCATGGTCAACGCAAATAGATAAATCGGTAATGGAGCAGTAAGAAGGGCATGAAAGGAACAAAGTCTTCCATGTATGAAGACATGACGTTTAAGCCTCAAAGACAGGGGTATCAGATTGAAAAAGAAAACAATTAAAGATACAAAAAAATTACCCGAGTGGTGCGGAGCATAGGGACCACCAGGATAAGGAACAGGAGGATATGCTTGTGGATTTACATTGGGAGGATAACCTGCTGGTGGATATGCATTGGGAGGATAACCTGCTGGTGGATATGCATTGGGAGGATAACCTGCTGGTGGATATGCATCGGGAGGATAACCTGCTGGTGGTGGTTGATGATGATTAGAAAACAATCCCTTCTCACGTTCATCATGTTGATGATCATTTCCTCCTCCCATTTTTCAAAGTACCTACACAGAAAGTGCCTATTAGATTATAAATAAGATTATGATGTTGAAAGAAGTGATTGTTTTCAGTGTGAACATGGAATGAGATTCAAAGCATTTTCCTCTCATTGTCTTCTTCCAAACCATCTTTAAAATAGAATAAAGTTCAAATCTGTGTATTCTTAACTACATCATCCTTCAAAAATAAACTTATCTTCTAAGAAAACTACCCCTTCTGCAAATAATTGAGTTTTCATCTGATAGACTGATACTAAGCACATCATACATAATTACATATTACAAATAATGAACAATAGAACAGGAAAATATACATTTAGGAATAGACATTTAACCACTTCATGCAAAGAGAAACTCCAGATTCTATGAAACTAAAACAAACAAACATAGTATATCCACTATAGAGTACAGTCTAAGGACCGCATGTAAGCAGACTATCTCTATCAAGGTGTAGATAGACAGTTTGCAAGTGCCGGTGAATATACTGTAATCTTACTCTAATAATGCAGTTTTGGGTCGATTTCCAGCCAAAATTAATTGGTGGAATTATACCACCTATGATTATGGACTGTGGAACATTAATTAATGGACCACGCATGCATACATTTATCCATTAGTGAACATATTGATTTTCTAATAGTCACATCACAGACCATGAAACATTATGCAAAAATCTATCCACAACTTTCAGTAGTTGACAACATACTACCTCCGTCCCAATGTATTTGCCCAGTTTGACTTTTTCGAGTCAAACTGGACAAACTTTGAACTCCAATTACTCTCAATTTATATTACATATTAACATAATGAAATACAATTTTGAAAGTTCTCAATACGATAAATGCAATAAAGTCATTTTTATGTTAAAATACATTACAGTTTTTATTTAATTGAAGCTCAAAGTTTGTCCAGTTTGACTCAAAAAAGTCAAACTGGACAAATACACTGAGGGAGTATATAGTTTGTACAGTAACACACCAACATTGCTTATTATCTAGCTTTTAACCGAAAAAAATGAACCATGCAACTGACAGTTTTTAAAATGTTAGTAAAATGCCGGAGAAAAAAGTTGATAATATATGAAAATTCTTACCCAAACTTAGACTATCCCTAATCGAGGATTGTAACATTGTAAAATAGAATAAAAAATAATAAAAGAGGAGAGGAGAGAATGAAATTCGGATAGATGGTTGTGAAAACGAAATCAGGAGGAGAAAATAAAAAAATGAGTAAATTCTATAAACAGTCCTTAATAATAAATGGTTTTCTATATTTAGTCCTTATCAGTTATCACAAATCAAATATTTGGTCCCTATTTATTTGATTCCTTTCCACAAATGGTCTTCCGTTAATATCATTGTTATCTCCATGTTAAAAGCAGGTCTAAACTTGTAATTTCACCAACCAAATGAATTAAATGCCTCCATTCCATGTCTCAAATTCCCAATTCCACTTTCCATCCATCAATTACCAACCTCTTCCTCACTAACACACAATGATAATGACTACATCAATACCCTAGAATTGCCACCCAAAGTGATTGATGAACAAGCTGACGATGGATCCGCCTCCCTCTCCAATCTCACCGCCGGTCCACTCCCCCGCTCCTCCCTGCATCTGAAGATCCCATCTTTAATTTCTCCCCCAAGCCGGATCTAGATGTGGTCACCATAGCAGTAGCTAGCATCTCCAACAACCCCTTCCGCCCCAATCTGAGGCAACAACAGATCGCGAATGGTGTTACGGTGTGGAGGAGAAGAAGTCGTTTGCAGGTTGGGAGTTGGGACAGATAATTGAGGTGTTTAATTAATTTGGTGGGTAAATTACAAGTTTAGCCTTGCTTTTAATGTGGAAATATCAGTCATACAGAGGACCACTTGTGGAAAGGAACCAAATATGTGTGTGCGGACCAAGATCCCATCAAACAAAAAGATCTATTCTGTATGAGTATATAATAATGCAGGTTGCTCATCAATTGTCGGACATATGGGGGCCTTGTGTTGATATTCTCAACATGAAATTGTCCATTTTTCATTTCTATTTGCTTTATTTTTAGTCCTAAATCGTTTCTAATTAAAATATAGATCTATGAGTTGTGCAGAGTGCTCTGAAAGACTAACTATAGTAGTAATTAAAGATGTTTCAATCATGCCAAATAATAAAATTCGAACTTTTAAAAATTTATACCCAGAAAAATAATAAAGGCATGAAAACAGCTCTTGCTGTCACTACGTAAATTGAACTAAAGCTGTTCACTTTTTTTGCACCAGAAATCCAGCATCTGTTCACAAAACTTTCCTTTGGTCAAGTAATTAAAAAATGCTAATATACAAATGTAAAACGAACTGAATAATATGTAAACATTTTACTTTCAATAAAACCAAGAGTCTAAAAAGCATGAAATATAGAAAATTGTAAATTTGAAAATGCAAAACAAAGCAAATAGTTATCTGAAACGTGAAAGCATGATTTGTGGCAGAGGCGGACATACAGTAGTTCAAATGGGGTCACTTACATGGGCAGAGGCAGAAAAACCGTAGTGGGGTCACAAATTTTAAAAATAACTCCATAATAAGATGATAAATAATGTAAATATTAAAAGTCATATCATACAAATTCACTTGTCAATTTCATTTTGAGTTTCTTGAATTATGGATTATGGTTGAACTTTGGGTTGGATTACATATTCTTGTGGAAGAGAAGGTTTTAATCTGTTGCAATAAGATTCTAAACCTAATATAGTACAAAATACTAACACATTAATGCCATAATGTAAAATTTACTAATAATAAATCTATATAGATCTCAACATAGTACAAAATTAGAGATGTTACCTCTCATTGACTCTTTGAAAATATCCATCTTTGGAAGTTGAAACCTCAATTTTTTTACTCCTGCTAGAAACTCAATAAACTATATACTCCCTATGCCCACAAATTAACTTTCCGGTTACTATTATGGGCTCTCGATAACTTTTGTTTATTTGTGCATTTTCAAATTTCATTGATAATTTGATAATATAAAATATTCTTGTCATATCTTGTTTTATACGTAGTAGAACTTTTGATTTACTTTTGAAATATGTAATTTTTACTTTTTGTTTCTAAACCAATTGGTAAATAAAATAAATTTAAAAGAGATGGGATTTTGCACATTATTTGAAACGAGAAGTTAATTTGGGGGAGTATATTTAAATAGATGTTGCTAAATCCACTCCCACTTTTTCTAAATCCACACCATCTATAATGAATGGACAATGTTGCCCTTAAATACAGAAGAGAAACTTTAGATGCAATAATCCATCTTTTAAAGACAAAAAGGGAGTGGATTGAGCAACACCTTATTTAAATTTGTAATAGCAAATTACATTAAATATTTAAGAGTTTGTTCTCTTCAACTTATTCTTATTACTTATTGCTTGTCCTTATTGGATTCAGATAAGACCATATCGACATATCACATACAACTTTAAATTAACTTTAATCAAATCAGATCCAATCAGATCAGACATAGAGAAAAGGCTCTTAATGTGCAAATTACATTAATTGTTTAAGGTTTGAGACTAATTAGCTACGGAGTTGGAGTTACGGACTTGCGGGAGTTGTGACACTTCATAAATTCTGTCGATTTTGAACTTCATGTTCGATGCATAGGGCCAATGATAATTGAACAAGAAGGCGGCCAACACGGCTATCGTTTGCCACTTTGACGGTAAGACAAAAGAGGACTCCTTTAGCACACGAGTAGTCGCAACTATGGCGCTGAACACAAAACCGAACATCGTCAATGGCAGGCTAGGTCGTCGATGTCGGAGGCACTAATGGCACCAGCTCCAGGTTTTTGAAGGACTGCGAAAATCCAAAAGAGTAGATGATGGAGAAAAAACATGGTATGCATTAGTGAATTTCCAAAGCCTATAAAAAACCTAGAGTTGGTGCCATCGGCATTTGGTACAGTCAGTTCCACGCCATAGTTTGGTGACCGGTGTCACGTTCGGCCTTCTCGTTGAAGTGTGGAACCACAACCATGTCTGCTGCCACAGTGTCGCTTTCCTGTCTAAATGCTGCTTGCCCTATGTGTCAAACTTGAAGTTCAAAATTGATAGAACTACTGAAGTGTTGCAACTCCCGCAAGCCAATAACTCCAATTTTCAAAGGTAAGCACTCTCAAGTCTCAATAATTTAATTTAATTTAATGTAATTTGCATATTTAACTATTTAATGTAATTCGCTATTACAATTTTAAATATTTATAGTTAATTGAGTTTCTAATAGGAATACAACAACAACAACAACAACCCAGTTGAATCCCACTACAGTAGGGTCTGGGGAGGGTGTGTGTATGCAGACCTTGCCCCTACTCGGAAGTAGGGAGATTTCTAATAGGAATACAAAAACAGAAATTTCAACTGCCAAAAATGGATGTTTTCAAATAGTCAATGAGAGGTAAGATCTATGGAGTGCAATTCAACAATATATTGAGATTTAAATAGATATATCATTAGTACATTTTAAATTGTGGTATTGATGCGTTAATATATTTTATTGGATTAGGTTCAGAATTGTATTGCAGAAGATTAAAACCTAGTCTTCCACAAGAATAAGTAATCGAACCCGTAGTTCAGCCACAACCTCCAATTCAAGAAATTGAAATTGCCAAAATATGAATTTTTATGATAATACTTTTATCATCTTATTACAGAGTTCTTTAAAAAAAATTAAAATTTTTGTGACCCCAGATTTTTCTTGCGCCCGCCCCTGATCAGTAGAGAGGTGTTTAAAATTATTATTGAAATTTAATACAGGTACAAGAAGATCCATAGAGAAGTGTTTCAGATATGGAAATTTTGAGCACAGATCTAATAATTCAGTAATGATTAAAAAAACATCTATCGATTGCGATTCACGTCTGGATAATAGAAAATATACACAACTTTTTGATTGAGAAAACATGATTAGGGCTGAAGCTGGAACAGGGAAGAGCGGAGATGGAGAGTTGAAAAAGAATTACCTGAGGGGCGCGAGGTTGGACGGGATGGAAGAGAACTGAGAATTATCTGTAGAATTCGAGGAGATGCCAGCTTATCCAGGATTCATTGCCCAGTTTGACTTTTTAGTATGAAATTCGGCAAAAGAAATGGGGTATTTGGTGTAACCCATTTATCCCTCACTCCCTCCTTGTCCATATAATTGGGCAAGAGACTCAAAATAAATAAATAAATAAATAAAAATAAAATATAAATGAGTGGTGAAAAAAAGGGTAGGGGATAAACGGGGTACAATTTTGGTGTATCTCTAGCATTGCTCTCGGTGAAAAAGTGGACATTTTAGTGAGGCAAATTTCTTGGGTAGCTTTTTCTTAGAAAGAGTTGGGATGCTTTCCATAGAGGCATTGTTTGGATGTTGGCTGTTGGCAGATAGTGGTTTCTATTGATTGTTTTAAATAATTGTTTAATTTAGTTGGTTTGACTGGTAGGATAAGTTGGCTTATGGTTAAAAATGTTTGGTAAAATTAGCAGTTTAAAAATAGTTGTTTCTATATATATATATATATACACACACACACACACACATATACGCGATATTTATTTTTTATTTTTGTACATGTAAAAATTAAATCGTTAATATGTGGAGTTTAAATTTTTTTTAATATAATTCATAAGAAATTATTAATATATAACTTTTTAATGATTTTTACTTTTGATTTTCTCATATCTTTTTTTGAAATTTTAAAATTTTAAACTAATTTTTTTAATTTTTTCAATTTTTTAACTTTTATTTTTATTTTTTTTACATATATTATAAAATATCTGAAAAATGATTAAAAAATAATTTTTTTAAAAACCAAGTTCAAATGCCACTCCCCTTGGCTTTTTGGATCAAAAAACCAAGTGAAAAAGCCATTAGCCAAACAATATTTTTGGTGGTTCGGTAAGTCAAACAAGCCAACGTCAGTCGAAGATACCAAAAGCTATCCGAAAAGCTGTTTTCCAAACACAGCCAAAGTTAGAAAATGATAACTTTTCTTGGAAAACTTACACGGTCTTTCACACATCTCAATTCAATCAATACCTTTATGTCTCTTCCAAATTAATTGAATAGATTTAAGAAATCTTTAAAGTACATGGACATTAAATGCAGTAGTTTGAGTTATTCTTTACCAGGGTATTTATACAATGATATTATGCATTTAAACATATAAGTATTTGCACGGTCGGTTGTTTAAAGATGTCCAAAAAACCACAAACCGTGATGTGGAACTTTCTTGATAAAATTATATCAGACGCACCACATGGATGCTAAAGTTACGAGCTATATGCATTTACAACGTCCAGGTTGGGAGAAGGGAGGTGATTCCATGGAAGTCATCTTTCATGACGAACATGTAAATTCTTCTTTCCAACTGTGTTTCACAATATTCACGTACTTTGGTACTTACAATCATCGTTTCTCATTCTTTTCCTTTTTCACAGGGGACGAGGATTCATGCTCATCCTAAAAAAACCCGAAAAGAAGCATTTTGAAAACCAGATTGTGGAAGACGGTGTCTTTGGAATTCAAAATGTTTTTGTTCATGATAATTACCTTTAATGCAACACAACCTCTCATAAATCTTTGTTGGTTTTTTACGCCAAGACAGAAGTGAAAACTTTGAGTGAAAAGGACTTTCCCAAAACAAAGTTTTTACTAAGTGAGATTTTTCATATTTAATCATTTATTATCAAATACAGAATATTACACACGTGTCCTTTCTTTTATGAGTAGTTTTACGCGAATAATTTTTTATCTTTAGTCATGTTGGTGTTAAATTAAAAACTAAAAATATTACGGAGTATTTCACAATGATCATATATCTTTCATGTCACAGTCAAAGCCAAAGGTCGCTGCTAATGCGTCATTTGTCAACTGAAGTCATTGTCTACGACAACTATAGTCTGTAGATGTTGTCTCTGGTGAGAATACTAGTCCACACCCATAATCATTATTATTTTGTTATCTGTCAAACTGAGATCAGAATACGTTACTCGATATAAGGTCAAATTAAAATTACACTTTTAGCTTTCAATCTAAAACCAAAATGACAGAGGATCAAAAATAGATTATCTGTAGAAAGGTACCGATAAAAAAAATCACATACAAAGAATTTAATAAAAGAGTAAATATGAAAACCCTTATCATAAAGGACTAACTATAAAACTTGCTCTAAAAGAATATGTCTAATTTGTAATAACAAAAAAGAAAAACGCAAAAATCCCACCAAATGGTGCACGTCAATTGCGGGATGATGATAAGTTGGGATGTTGTTGGCTTAGGCATGTGACACTAAGAAACGGTCTTTCTGTCTTTCATGAATTTGGGATCGTTCAAATCCCATTTGAGCCAGCCCAGGCACTCACCCAAGTAAGTTGTATGATCCAACGGTTAAGATCCGGTGTGATCCAAGGGTGTTGCGTGATGTGTTTCTATTCTTTCCTCTTCTCAATGTGTCTACTCACAATGGGTGAAATCTAATATGAAAATGCAATACCAGTGAAAATCAAACTTACAATAAAAGCCAATCATACTACATTGCCTACTACAGAGTACAACTAACAAAGATTTTAGGTAATAGAAAGATTGTTTTTATTATGAAGTCATAATAACAATAACTATGAGTAAAACACCATTATTGGAACATCACTCTGTCGCGGTCCAGCCAGTCTCATAGAGGACCAACTCTCCCCTCTCTGTCGCTATGGTCCAGTGTCCCAAAGTTGATACAGAACTATACATACAATCAATATACTCCCCATTCAGCAGAACCTCAAAGCAGCTTCTAGTTCCTTCTCATCATCACAGTTGTAACCCAACGAATAAGCTCGTGCTGAAAAGTAGAAATACAACACTAAATTATACCGCAATATATAGATATCCACATATGTGTATGTATGTAGGCATATATATTGGAGGTGGAGGGTAGCAGACAGAAAATGAAATGAAGGGCAAACCCCTACCGAATCGACCAGATCCCATGAATGGTTCCGCTTCATCAATCCCGCTGGCCTGCTGCAGTTCCTAAATTTTTTGGGGGAAAAGGAGATAGAAACTAAGTTGAAATAACTCATGGTGTCGCAATCAAGTTGAGAGATTTGTACATCACAAGATATGATTCTTGCTGTTAGTGTCTGAAATTGGTTAACGGAGTGATTGTGCTGAGTTGTCTAAAAATATGTTTTACTGTGCAGTATACTGCATATCATTATCAAAGTGGAGAATATTAACAATCGATAGGAGGAGGGTAAAACAGTCATACCGCATCTGCTTCTATTTCTGATGGTGACAACATTCTGTCAAAGCAGTGACCTGAAATCGTGCACACCAAGAGTTCATTTGTTGGATCAAGAACGACTTCTTTGCATGCATCATCACATACTGCATGAAGACAGTAGAAAAAGCACCACATTAATAGACACTTCAAAAACAGAGCTGCATATTCAATTTTTATATGCACTCAACGGAATGTAACATGACCTGGTTTGGTTAAGGTAATCACATTAGATCAGTAATATAATATTACTACCATCATGCTTGGATTTTCTTAGGCATTGTAACTTGTAAGATTACCTTAGTACTCCACAATATTTTAGACTATTACAAATTCTGCAAACTAAACAAATTAATGTAAAGCCTCTATACCTTTTCTAAGTAACCCCATTTGTGAGACTCTATTGGGTTGTTGTAGCAAATAAATGTAATCTCAGGTTTGTATGCATGACCTTACGTTTCCTTATAGGAATTAATCCTAATAATAAAAAAAGTATGCCCATAAAGGCAATTCATACCATGCACATGTCCAGTATTCTCACAAACAAACACATCATTAATTTGATAGTAAGTGCATGTCTCCCCAGAGCAAGCATGATCTGCAAACACTTCATCACTAAATCCTTTGTTTTTCTTCCAAATGGAGATTTGGTCAGCAACGGTCTTGTCAAGTATTATATGATCATCGTTGACCTGCACAGTGCACATTATAAATTACAATATATAGATACAGCAAACAACGTGACTCGAATTAGGTTGGATTAAAGCGTTGATATGATGAGGAGGAGGGGCACTCAACATGAGACTTTTGCCATTGATAAGAAGGTGTTAAAGCCCACCAGTTAATAATTACTCCAAATTTGATTGGATTAAGAAGGGGGATATTTTTAAACCAGATGAATTGTCACCCCAGCTAGAACCAACTTTTCAAGGTTTAGGAGTTATAAATTTATTTATTACTCCCTCCGTTTCACAAAACACTTCCGCCCTAATTTTTTGCGCATCCCTCAAAACACTTCTACCCAACTTAAAATGTCTAAAATACACCCCCATTTCGTAGTATATTGCGGGTAGAAGTTGTTTTGAGGGTATTTTAGACGTTTTTAGGTGGAGTAGAAGTGTTTTATGGGGTGCACAAAAAATTAGGGCGTAAGTGTTTTTGTGAAACAGAGGGAGTAGAATTCAGGAGTTCATGTATTTTACGTACATTGTAACATTGCCAATTGATAAAAAAGAGTCATTTTTACGGTGTTTTAGCTTCGGGCAAGTAATGGGAAATGACATGTTAAACTTTCCTTGCTTTACTTTTTATGAAGTTTTGGGCAGTAAATCTGTAAACGCGTCACGGACTAACAGAAACAACCTCCCTGGTTTATAAAGGAGTAAGGTGTGTCATCTCGACCCCCCCCCCCCAAAAGGAGCCCAACAGGAATTCTTGAGTTAAAAATTTATTGCTCAAACAGTTAAGAGGCGTTCTTGAATTTTCTGAATTTTTCTCTGATTCATTTTTCGAAGAGAACTGAGAAGTGTAAACAAACATTATACGGAGTATTTAAGTATTTAATTTACCTGTGAAAGAAGAGGAGCTTGACTTCTTTTTGCTGCTTGCATTTGGATGTAATATTGTTTGAATTCAGATGGACAGTGCTTAACAAACTCAGCCATGTCATCCGTATCTCGCTGCAGGAATAGCCAAGTTTTTAATCAAATCTATTTCTTCCACAAAACATTGATAAACTGAACAAATGCATTGAGTACTATTGTACTAAAGTGACTAAACATTAAACACACACCTGAATGTACATCAACTTCCAAGCACATTCCCGTGGTCTATTTGGTGGAAGGAGACCCCACCTCATACAATAACTGCATAAAAAGTATTCATAGAGTGTAAGGGGAAATTGACAAATGGGAGAATGGGATAAATGGGCGCTTTGATTTGTTTTTATTTCATTCTCAAAATTAAGTGTTTTTGTAACCTCAAAGGCTCCAATTACAGTGTAATATGACATTTGACCTTAGTAAACACCATTAACCACAAGTACCAAAGTTTTACAACAAAAAGAACTGAACATTGATAAGCCTATATCAAGATGTTTGTACACAATCGATGTTGAGAGTGGAAAGAACAGAGAGATGAAGATACAAAAAGAAAAAGAAAGAAAGCCTTACAGTCGACGCCACAATGATTCATCAGATGCAGCATAATTTAAGAATTTACAGGAGAGAGAACAAGCAGCAAGATCCTGTCATCATTGTTTAGATGCACTCCTCAATGAGCAAGAATTTATAATTTGCATGTGAGTGTATTAGTGCATAAATACATATCAGAACCAAAAAAAGAAAGATATAATTCATTTTTCTTTCAACAATGATACTAACAACAGCAACAATAATAATACCTCTGAGGAAAGGAATTTGAGTATGTGATGAAGACATTCAGGAGGTATTTTGCAAAAAACACCGGTTTCCATCCACCTGAGAGCCCAAAGAGCATTGCATCTGCTAGCACTGCTTTTTCTTTCTTTATTATATGTATTGTTCATCTCCAATGATCCACTTGACAATGGAGATGACACTACTGATTCTACTTGTCCTGCCTCTTCAACAATAACTCTTTTTGCTACTTTCTTATGTTCCTCCTCAAGCTTATACTTCTCCATTCCCTCTATCTCATCCTCGTCTTTTGCAAACCTCATTTTCTTAAAGGCTCTTTCTTCTTCCTCCTCCTCAACTCCTTCATCCTGAAGTGATGTTTGCTTAAACTTTCAATAATAACTGAGTATTCCGTAACATAATTATAAATTAAAACAAATAGGGCTCACAAAAAGGCACAGGATGTAGAGCAGGCAGCTAAAAATATAAAACTTGAAACAACAAAAAAAAGAAAATGTAGTACTTATTTTGTTCATTAACATGCCACATGAAAAAGTATAATCTATAATTTCTTGTACTTAACCCGGAGAAAAAAACCAGTAAACTTCACTATTTTCAAATTCATTTGTACAAAAAAGAATTAGTGCCAAAAATCTGAAAAGAAAAAAACCCTAGAATTTTTATACAAGGGATAAAAACGTAATACGGAGTATAGATTATCTTGCATATGAAAAAACGAGCATGCATCCCGATATACACAGGTACATAAAAACTGAATCTTTTAATGAAATTAAAACAAAATTATCGAATACTTTACCTGGTCGGAGAACGCAAGGACCTCTGATTCGAGGAATTGGGCGAGGGATTCATCTTCTTCGTCTGAAGAGGCCATGAACGTCGACTGGTCCTCAGAAACCCGACCTAGATATAGATATACATGTGAGTGTTTTTAGATGGAACGTATGGCCGGGAAATGACGTCGTCTATCGGAGACTATGGTCGGCGAATCCAGGCCGTCGATTGCTACGGGGGGGGGGGGGTTTGGTGCAAACAGAGAGGGGAAGCGAGCAAAGCCGGGTCGGGTCGGAACTGGATCCGAATTCTACACGGCAAATCTTAAAATGTGGCCGAAGCCGCTGAACCACCAGCCTCCAACCGGACCGGCTCGTGAGTCAAGCTCGAGCTGAGAAATAAGGGGTTCATTACTTGGAGTACGGTCAGTTTTCTTTTACTCCATCCGTCCTAGAGTATTCGTTCAGTTTTGACTTTTGGAACTGTTCAAAGCACTTTGACTCATCAAATCCTCTCAATGTGTAAGTCTAAATATAGTCATGTGTGATCTTGTTTGATTTGTCTTAACATATATTAGGGCCGGCCCAATAGGAGGACAAAGTGTCCGTCCGGGCCGGGCCCAAATATATAAGGGGCACAAAATTTTTTTTTTAGTATTATATATATATAAAAGCAGCCCGTCACATTTAAGGCCCAAGCCCAGTCCACAACTCCTAATTCTCCTAGTCCTTAGCCGCAAAGAAAGAACCGAAGGAAGATGCAGATTCACGGGATTGCCGATTTGGGAAGAAGCCGAAGAAGAACACGATTCACGAAAGACGACGTTACGACGCCGCCGCACGCCGTCACGCCGACCCCCAGCCTCTAGGTATTCCATATTCATAGCTTTCTAATTTTGTAATTTTTATTTCTTAATTTTCTTTCATTATTTTATTTTTTAGATTTAAAATCTAGGGTTAATTATTAACTTTTAATTTGAAATCTTTTCTAATTTCATTCTTTAAAATAGAATGAATTAATAGTTCTATATGTTATTTATTTGATTTGGATGAATTGATTGAATTTGTTATTTATGATATATTTATATATAAAAAACTAAAAACTGAAAAAAAACTGAAAAATTGAAAAATTGATATGAATTTATGATTTATAAAAAAATTAAAACTGAAAAAGAAAAAAATAAAAAAAGAAAAATTGATGAATTGATATGAATTTATGATATATTTATTTATTTTCTTGCTTTTTCATATTTGATTTTACTAAGTAGTAGAATTTATGAATTTGGATTTTATTTCAGAAATAATTCAATAGCTATGGCTCCTAAACAATTCTCTGGAAGTCAAAAAAAGAGAAAACAAGACGAAGAAATGAGAAACTCTCAAGCAGGAACTCTATATAAGTTTATTAAACATGTTGTTGAAGACAAAGAAGTAGAAGTGAAAGAGATGGAAGAGCAAGAGCATCTACAAGTAGAGCAAGACTATGTTAAATTTGTTAGATCATTAGGGATAGGATTTTTAGGGCCTTTTTTATGTTTCGGCCCGGGCCTATGAATTCTCGGGACCGGCCCTGACATATATATTACGGAATATTAATATATAATTTCTATAATTTTTTAATATACAAATTATAAGATAAAATGGATTAAAGAAGTGTATTGGATGCTGTGTAAAAATGAAAATGGACAAATACTCTGAGACGGAGGTAGTATTAATTTTGATTCAAAATTATTAAAGTTTGATCTGATTTAATTCAAATACAAATATTTCCTATCTCATTTGATTTTTTTATCAGTCTAATTTAATCAATTACACTAAATTTGTTTCTGATATGTTCTAATTCAATCTCCTAAATCTAAGTTTCTAATATGATACTCCCTCCGTCCCTTATAGATCTTCTCAATAGCCCTTTTTCTTTGTCCACAATAAATCTTCTCATTTCATTTTTTAACAATTAAAATACCACAACTACCCTCACTTACTTTATTTATTACACCTCACCCACCTCATTTAACACACTCCATCCATTTTTCATTAAGGATATTATTGTAAACTTTCACCTTTTTTTAATTCTCCTTAAAAACCACCAAAAGTCAAAATGAGAACATTTAGGGGGACGGAGGGAGTATAATTTTTCTTGTTTTGAAAGTCGGATGCCACATTAAAACAACACCTAGTTGTACAAGTTAGATAGACTTTGTCGCTCTGAGTATAACTGTCTGCAATTTTTTTTCCTTTTCCACTTTTGTTTTTATGGCTTCTTTATTTTTCTATTTTTGAATTTGTTTTTTTCATAAGAAGATAAATATGCATATTAAGAAAAATATTTTACAAAAGTGGTATATACTCCGTATATTGGTAAAAGAGTTGGAGAATGAAAGGTTTCATACAAAATATAATAAAAATAAGAGAAAATTCATATTTGGTCTTTTATAACAAGAGATTTTTCCTACTTAATTCTCTATTATCAAATATCGCCTCACTGGTAATTTATTTACGAGTATCTTTCTACAAATCGTCTTTTTTATCTTCTGTCATGTTGAGGTTAATTTGAAAACTAAAAGTGTAATATTTGTGAAAAATACCCATTAAAGGACCAAAATAAAAAGGCAAAATATACTAAAAAGTGAGAAACCAATATTCTATATTTTGGTGAAAAATGAGATAATATATTTTTGGATTCTTTCTAAAGTCCTTGAATCAGACATAATGTAAGGAAATAGCATGTTACATATATGTCATCACCACAATAATTAAAGTGATCTATTTTATTTATCGTCAAAACCGAAAAACTTTTATGGAACGAATGAAATATAAAGCAAGAAGTGAATACTTATATCAATTTATCAAATAAATACTGAAAACAAATAATGAAAGTAATTAAATTTTAATTCTGTAAATAATAAACGTGCAAGTTGAGAGGGAGCAACATAATGCTACCAAAAGTCGTACTAGATACGTAAAGAAGCGAAGAAGTTTGATTGTGTATGGAAAAGAGACCAAAAAAGCATGCAAGAATGCCTGGAAAAAAGATCATTTTTTAATATAAACATTCGTCACAAAAGCAAGACTTCATGCGCAATTTTCTTGCCGGCCGGTTAATATAATTATACGGACTATGTTGTTGTTATATAGAGAGTATTATTATAATACGTACGTCTGCTTTCTTATAAATTAATAAAGCATAAATTAATTACTGGGTACGTAAAAGTTGTTAAGGATTGATGGAGAATCGGCGGCGGATAGGGATGATGACGGCGGCAGTGGCGGTGGTGGCCGCCGTGATGGGCTGGGCCGCTGCCGGGCAGCAATTCGACGCCATGTTTGTGTTCGGAGATTCGTTGGTGGACGCCGGGAACAATAACTACCTGGTCGATTCCTTGGCGAAAGCTAATTATGTACCCTATGGTATCGATTTCCGAGGCCCTACCGGCAGTTTCTCTAACGGCAAAACCATCGTTGATTATCTTGGTAATTACTTACGTTTCTTATTTTTTAGTTTATTATACGGAGTATTTGATTATACTTATTTTTAAGGCAATCTGTCATAACCGATTCAAAAAACTTTTTCAAAATTCGCGTCAATTCTAGGAATAATTTTTTAAATCGGGTGAACTTATGCAAAAAGTATTTGCACCAATTGCATCACTACCTTTTGCATCGGTTCACAACCGATTTAAAAAGTTTGAAACAACCAATTCAAAAAGTAATTTCTGTAGTAATGTTAGAAAATTGGAATAGAATTAAAAATCAAATTTTACATAATAAAAAACTACATCATATATAGAAAATACTCCCTCCGTCCCATAAAGTGTTACCCATTTTGACTAAAGTTGAAATTAAGGAAGGGATAATTTTGTGTTGACTTTTCAAAAATACCCTTGATGTGATGGGTAAAAGTAGGATGTGATGTGTAGATTATTAGGAAAAAGGTATGATGTGATAGGTATGGTTTAAAAAAGTAAGGAGTAAAAGTGATTTTTTTAATAGAAATGGGTAAGGGATTGTGGTACACAATTTTTTTGAAACGTGTAAATCTTTTTGGGACGGGGGAAGTATAAGACAAAAGTCTCCCTAGTGGATAAAAGTTTTCTATTGTCAAACGGTTCATTATTTTGAAATATCATTTTTGGAATCTCATGTGATCTTTTTTCAATGTCTCGGAGGCAAATTTATTTTTCATTACTCGGTATGTTTCATCCAATATGACAATACTTCTTTGTTAGAAAAATTCTACGTTAAGGCTAGCTTCTTGCATGATAGCAAGTGTCAAATGGTTTGAAAACCTGCAATGTGTTATTCTTGAAATATGTATAGTAGTGCAACAATGCACGTACTGATGTAACATTTAGAATATTCTTATTGTGGCATGATTATTTTGCATGACAAACTGTTAATTTCTTTCATGACCGGCCTCAATATTTGATTTTAGGGGATTTGTTAGAGATTCCCGTTGTTCCAGCCTATGCAGATCCATCTGCAACAGGAAAAAATGTTCTTAAAGGAATAAATTACGCTTCAGCTGCAGCTGGAATCCTTAATGAGACTGGCCGAACGTTTGTACGTACTAGTATTTTTCCTTTATACATTCTCTATTTTGCAACACTTTTGTTTTTTAATATATGTTTCGTACATGCATGCATGCAGGGTGATAGATTTACCTTCTCCCAGCAAATTGAAAATTTCCAGAGGACTTTGAAATATCAATTACAGAGAGAGATGAGGGAGGAAGAACTCATTGGTTATTTGAACAAGTCATTAGTTGTTATCTCCATTGGCAGCAATGACTACGTTAATAATTATCTTCTTCCATCTCTTTACTCCACTAGCTACACTTACAATCCCACAAACTTTGCCGATCTTCTTGTCGAACACTTCTCCAAGCAACTCACAGTATATATAACTCATTTATTATATTTGTTCATATACAAATACAACATATTTTTTATATGAAATATGTTTTAGTCCTTAATTGTGGTGTCATACAGGTACTCCATGGCTTAGGCCTTCGAAAGTTCCTTCTGGGTGGCATTGGACCGCTGGGTTGCATTCCGAACCAGTTGGCCACTCAAGCAGCCCCACAAGGGCAATGCGTGTCGCATGTAAATGACATGGTGGAACACTTCAATTTTCGATTGAGTGATCTCGTTGACCAACTCAATCGAGATTTAGTCCCCTCGGTCTTCGTTTACGGAAACACTTTCCTTGCGTTTAGCAACATAATCACAAACGCATCTACATATGGTACAAATTTAAATTAAATTCTTTTTCTCTTTTGTAAAAATTTCAACTATATAGGGATTAGGGACAAACGAGTAAATAACTAATTTTTAATTAGATATGATAAAAAAAAATTTAATTATATTTTGGTTTTGATGGTATTTTGGTTTTGATGGCATAGGATTTGTGGTGAAGGACCAAGGATGTTGTGGGATTTCAAAGCTACAAATAACATGTCTTCCATTTTCTGTCCCATGTCCAGACAGGACAAAGTATATTTTCTGGGATTCTTTTCATCCAACACAAGCGGTTAACCAAATTCTTGCTAAGAATGCATATTCAGGGCCACCTTCTCTTTGTTATCCCATGAATGTTCAACAATTGGCACACCAATGAGTCCGACTGTGTGTCATATGATCGGCACTCAATGTTCAAAAAATAAAAATCATAGAATAATATCAGCTTTCTCGTTATGGATGACAACCGTTTTGTAAATATGTACGTACACATGATATAACTGTACATGAACCCAATGTGTGTTCAGAGATAGATGAATACATCCCGTTGTTGGGACCGCGCATGCCTTCACCCTAACTTCGCATTAGTATGATATTATCCGTTTTGGACCAAGCCCTCACGAATTTAATTTTGGACACCTCCCAAAATGTCTCATACTAATGGACTTGGTATAACACTTATATTTTGGTTCATTCTCTTTTAAACCTCTGGGGTGGGATTGATTTGTATCCCAACAAACCTCCCCTCAAACCAAGACCACATAATCTTGTGACCTCCTCTTTAACGATTATCCGTTTCTGATCTGCAAACCACCTTGCACCACCGCTACACACCTGCGAGCTACGCCACCCGGCCTCCTCTTATCGGGGAGACTTTCGGCACAAGGTAAATCGCAGACCACCAATCCATTAAGGTCACATAATAATTTGATCTACCAAATCATTGTGTGCCGTCGTTAACACCAAACAGGACACGCCGCATGACCACCACTTGTCAAGAAGACTTTCGACACAAGGCGCCGCCTATCGACCTCTAGTCATTATGCCACACCGGGCACACCGAAAAATTCGCACAACGTGGGCCGGTTCATTTTTCCTGATCTGATTTTTTGAAGATCTGGTCTGATCTGATCTGATTTGATCTTATTGCGATTATAATTAAAGTTGTTACTGATCTAGTCTGATTTGATTATAATTAGAATAAGTAATAAGTAGAAAAAATAAGTTGAACGGAGCGCTGACGTAGTCCCCCACTTCTGCCTGCACAAATCTAGGCTCTGATGCTACATGTTGCGATAGCGCGTGCCTTCACCCTAACCTCAAATTCATATGATATTGTCCACTTTGGGCCAAGCTCTAACGAATTTGTTTTGGAAACCTCCCAAAAGGCCTCATACTAATGAGGTTCACGTAACCATTATGTTTTGGTTCATTCTCTTTTACACCTATGGTGTGGGATTGGTTTGTATCTAGACCTGCACAAACACATATCCGGGCCTGATCTGGGATGGGCATAGCATTGATTTAAGGTCTGTTTTTTTGGACAGACCTGGCTTAACCCGGATCACATGGGCTGAAAGTGATGCCCATATCCACCCACTTAGGCAGGTCGGAGAGTCCATCAAGCTGCCCGGCCCAAAAATAGGTTCAAAACCAGTCACACGTATATAGAAATATGTGCCAAAAAATGTCACTGCCATTAAAATCTAGTCTTGCAAAACCAGATAGGCTCATGCCAAAAAAACACATGACAACAAAAATAAAGTTTGTTCTAGATCAATGTAAATTTAAAACTAAAACAAAGTGTGTAATAGACTAAAAAACAACTGCAATGGTAAAATGCACAATGGCTAAAGCCTATATGCATAACTCATAAACAAAAGAAAATAGTCGAATTCTAGACTCCAAACTGCACCATCCATTTACGAAAAGGATGTTAGGGATATTATATGTATTGGGCTATTGGTCAATTGGGCCTATTCAAGGGAGTATTTTATTACGTAGTATTAAAAAGTGAGCGGGCTTGCTAGCCCGAATGGGCTAGCTCTAAATCCTAGATCCGCCCATATAGAAAAAGGGCCAGGCAAGGCCCACCCATATAGACATTTATTAATGTTCATATCCGCCCATTTTTAAGGGCAAACTAACCCTTACATGTGGAGGTCGATCTATTTGTATCCCAACACATGCACACATGTGTTTATATATATATATATATATATATATATATATATATATATATATATTTATTAATATTATTGGAACGGTCGGTTACAAGCGGGGGGCCTGAGGTCCGTTAACCTCGTGACTGCCTCGGGCCCCGTTAAACACCCGAGGCAGATAGCCCACTATAAGAAGCCCAATGAAAGCCCAATCTAAATCACAACCCCATAAATCTGCAAACACTTCCTAGGGGGTCACCCATCATTTCTGCTACTCCATGACCAGCACGCATAACTCCCTTGAAATTCCCCCAAAGTTGCCTCTTCTGAGGATCGAACCCGGGTGGTGTGGTTCGCCAATCAACCCTGTGACCATCTCTACAAGGGGGGAACCACTATATATATATATATATATATATATATATATATATATATATAAAATTTACACATTATTGCCATTCGTGCATATATAATTAATCATCAATATATTATATCCCTGAGTAATTCGTATTTATGTACTCTTGTTGTATGACTTGTATCTCTATAGGATTTAAGGTTGCACTAATTTAACTCAATGTATAGTATTTTTACAACTAGCTACTCTATATTATTGTTTACAACTACTATGTAGTAAACTATTCCACTCTTTTTAATGTTTTTGGTGTAAACACAAGTCAAAGATAAAGAACTAATTCATGAAGAAAAATGCTAGAAACCCACTAAGTTTGACACCAGGAGTGTGACACAAAGTATTTCCTAGATATGTGAGTGTGTTCCAGTGTATCGCAGACAATAATTATCTTTATATGTGTGTGAAATACTTGGTATCAACTCTTGGTGTCAAGCTTGGAAGCTTTCTAGCACGACTCAAAATGAATGGGATATCATGCTAAATAGACTATAGAGTAGCCCACTCGAATTTAAAAAAAAAAATTGATCGAGCAAGTCACAAATATGTAATCATACATAGTGATGAGATGTTTAAAAAATGTATATTTTCACTTTATATTTTTTGAGATAAATAAGGATTGAAGAAAAAGTAAGTCGTGTTTATAATTAGCTAGGATCGGCGACAAGGACTATTGAGCGTCGTTTGATGTTTGTTTCACTGCCGCGAGACCAATGAGTATGAATATTTGGAACTGTCATGAGTTGGGCAACCAGAAAACAATTCAAAAAATTACTAAGGTGGTTTTTGTAAAAAAAACAAAATTTATGTTTTAATGGAGACAAAAGGAGTTCATAATGTGGTGGATGTTTTATGTGTGAAGATTCGGATACGGTGGAGGTTGTTCCCTGCAGCTTGTTTGTATAATCGGTCTATGTGTAGACTGGATCATTTTATATTATTTATGGGCATTTGTTGTTTATGGTCGTCTTACAGTATTAACTAATTCCGATTAAAACATGCTTTGCTTGGAGATTCAAGGTTTAAAAGTGTTATCTTTGGAGTTTGGCATATCACAACATCTTCCTTTTTTAATAAACTCGAGGTGTGCAAGAAGCATTTGGAGATGTGGTGGCGACAGATTTCATAAATTTGGTAAACATATCATGGAGGTGTGGAAATCAGTGGAGAAATGGAGGGATAAGCGGGATGATGTGGGGTTGAAGAATTTTAATGAGGCCAATTCAGAGCTATTGGAGTTGCTTGACTAAGAGGATGTGTACGGGAGCCAGCAGACGAAGCAACACTAGCTTCGAGCCTTCGACACTGCTAAATCAGCGATCAGGGGAGGGGGACTGGGATGCAGGGGGTGAGGGAGGTTTTTTTTAGAAATAGAAATCATCAATTTTATCAACGAAGCATCCTAGATACCTAATTTTATCATCAAATCATTTTAATGTCAACATGTTCAATATGTAAAGATTGACCCCATATTTTAATGATACCAAGGTCAGATTATTTCTCGAAAGTCAATTTACCAGTGAGCGTTGAATATTTAACAAAGCAATGGGTGCGAATGGGATAAAATAATTAGAGAGTATATTGAAAGACATCAATACTAATCATAAGATCTCTCAAATACCACATACAAGTTTTACACTTTATTACTCCGTATCAATCTAAAAGATCATCCGGGAGATTTATCCTTTTTGAAAGCCAAATTAGACACAAGGAAGGTATAACGTGCAATATTCGATATACGCCTGCGTATGATATTGTGAAGTCCATTGGACTCTAAAATGGGCTTTCCGATCATTTGAGTAGTTCAGTTCTGTTATCATTGCAAGCACAGAGATAGAGAAAAACGACGGGGAAGAAGAAACCGCTGTAGCGTTCCCGATCAAACATACGATCGTGTTCAGGTTAAGCAATACAGAATTGCATTGCAGAGAAAGCGGTGAAGAATGGGAACGGCAACGGCATTGGCGCCGGGGCTATCCCGGAAGCTGAAGAAAGTATTGGACACCCGTACAGACACGCCGGATCTGCTGGCTTCTCTCAAAACCCTCTCCGATTTCTATGCCGAAAACACACCTCACGCCCGCCGGAACCTCAGATCCACCATCGAGAAGCGATCTCTCTCCATCAACCAAGAGTTCCTCCTCGCCTCCGCTGCTGCTCAGAAGGCAATTCTCCTTCCCCATCTTGCCAAATTCTTCCCTTCGCTGAGTTTTATATTTCGTGTTGTTTTTATCTTTCACTTTTGGATCGGTTCAGGCATTGGATCACGTGGAAGAAGAAGTCAGTGCACTAGCGGAATGCTGTGACAAGTAACATTTGCTTCTGTATTTGTCGTTTTTGTGAATTTCTATGTTACTCAGTCATGACTAACAATTTCTCTAGATCATATACGGAGTATATCATAGCACCATTGGTCCTTTTACTCGAGTATTGAATTGAATTTGAATTTCAAGTTTAGGCTATTAGTATTGTTTCTGCATCAGGAGTTGAATCAAGGAAAAGTGGATGTCAGAAGTAGCTATGATGTGTAAATTTAGAAAACATTTGCATAACAATTTGACATTGCCCTTTCTTTGTTAATGTCTTCCGCCGTCATCAATAATTTTGTTGGGCGTTTTTTTGCTTCATAATCGTCCTACTAAGATTTCAAAATCTGGAAGCCGTGTAACAACTACTACTACAAACCCAGTAACAATGCACATACGGTAGGGTCTGGGGAGGGTTTGTACTCGGACCTTATCCCTATTCGAAAGTAACAACGCACATACGGTAGGGTTTGGGGAGGGTGTGTATTTAGACCTTATCCCTATTCGAAAGTAACAATGCACATACGGTAGGGTTTGGGGATGGTGTGGGGCGTGTACTTAGACCTTATCCATATTCGAAAGTAGAGAGGCTCATTCCAAGAGATCCCCAGCTCGGAACGGAATAACAGAGTGTTTCATTATCAATTAATCATACTGCATATGTTACGTAGTAATCCTACTCATGTTTCATAATGGTGTGAAATGTGTGTAAAAAATCTGG